GGAAAACAGCAGGGAAACGCTGAATGCATGCCATTCAAGATGTCTACTAATACACGATTGATCATCATTACTAGCACACCTGGATTTACAGTAAAATGTCATTTTTATCGGTGAAGCTAAACAGGATTGCTTCTATTCGTTAAAGGCCTTCACTGAGTCAGACTCACACTTTGCATGGCAATGAATCACCTGCTCGTATAGCAACTCGCAACATGTAGCAGCCTTTTAGATTGACTCTAACTGCTATGGAAATATGCTTCCAGTGTGTTTTCCTGAGAGCTAGTTTGATGCCCCACTTCCAGTTCAGCATCTGTTTTACTTGCATTTGTGCTGTATTGTTGCACAGTGGGTTTCTTGCATCACTAAAATGCCGCAATTTATTGTGTAGGTTTTCCCCTGGTCCCAGACAGTAGCGATCCATAACTTTGGAGGGAAAGTATTTGTTTTCTGTATGTTCTACAGCAGCAGGTTGTGTCTTTAAGGATATTTTATGTGTGTTGTCCGCCTGAAGCCAAACCAATATTCAAATCCAGCATTTCCACAGAAGAGTCACTGCTGTGGCCTATGCCGCTTTGCACCTATTTTATTTAATTTTTTTGTCCCGGGGCAAACTTTTTATCTTTCTAGACAGAAAGTAGATATCTGTGGGATTACATAAAATACCTTTGAAGTTGCAACCTGCTCTGGACTTGGAACAAAAAAAATAAAATAGCATTTTTGAGTAATGTATGAAGTGCCAACATCACAAATGGAGATAGGGTTTTAATAGACTCGTGGGAGCTGGTTTTAACTTAGTTTGCATCCACATTTCACAATGCTAGACACCCAGTAGCCTATCATATATTAAAGCCATCAGTGAAAAAAATCTCCCTTATGCATAAATTGTGTAACAGCTCCTTTCTTTTGCTCCAATAATTGTTGAGGTTGGCAGATCATGGTTAAAGTTGACTGAGAGAAAATTCTTTTTAAGGTTTAAGCAGATGAAAAATAATAATAAAAAAAAAAGTCTATTTTTTTTCTCATAATTGGGAGGTCTGGTGCATTTGAATGAGCAGACGCGCAGTGCTCTGGAAGGAAACTGAATATCTGTGGACAGTAGAAAATAATGGAACAAGTGGAAAGTCCAGAAAAAACTTCTATTTTTCCTGAAGATGGATGACACCCTGCATGGCGGCAGCAGCCACGAGTTCCTCCTGGAGTAATTCCTGAGGGGCTGAGGCTGTGAAAGCAATGGCCAGTTTCCCACTGTGCGCTGCATCAAAATGTTGTAAATACAGCGGCGAGTCCTCCTACCCATTCATCTCTGTGCACAATCGTAAAGGCTTGTGTGCACAGAGAGCAAGAGCGACTCCAATTAATGACCTGGCTGTCGAGCGCAAAGATACCAATGTGAAGGGGTGAATGAGATGTTTTCGGCTGAGATAATTGTGATTAAGTTTGACATTTTGGGAAATACGCTTATTCACTTCGTTGCCAGAGTTAGATGAGGAGATGTCCGTGGGTGGCTCGGTGCTGCAGCATTTAGCACTGCAGCAAGAAGGTTCAGGGTTTAAAGCTGCTGGCCTTTCTGCGTGGAGTACGCATGTTTTCTCTGCTGCTGCGTGACTATGCACCGGCTTCCTCCCACAGTGCAAAGACAGATATATTAGGGTAATTTGTGACTTTAAATTGGCTGTAAGCATCAGTATTGACATGTCTCATTGTGTTAGGCCTGCTATGACCTCGAAACGTATCTAGGGTGTTCCCCACCTCCTGCCTGGTGTCTGCTGGGATAAGCTCCAGCTCCCTGTGACTCTCTGCAGGATGAGGTAAAAGGATTCCATCTCAAATTATCAAGAACCTTCTGCTCAACCATCTCTGATTTGTTTGAAACTTCTTTTTTTAAATCATAAAATGTGGATACTGAATGGCAGCACTAAACTGCCACTCCTCAAAAATAAAAACGGATCAGTACCCCATTCTGATGTGAAAAGTTTCTTGTGATATTTTTCACGTTACAACGATAAATTACCAGGTTTTAACAACATACTAACTTATCACATTATAACAATATCTGTGATGCTATAACGAGGTAAGTTTTTATCTCATTTTAATGTGAAACTTATCTCATTACAGTGAGATAAAAAACATATGTCGTTATAACGTGATAAGTTAGTGTATTGTTAAAACGCAATAATATATTGTTATAACGTGAAAAATATCACGTTATATTGAGACACTTTTCACTTTATAACGTGATACTGTTCCTTTTTTGTTTTTGAGGAGTGGCAGTTCAGCGCTTCCATCTTATTGATATATAAATAATAATATTAAAATAATGTAGTACTTTCTTAGATCATCATTATTTTTTTAAATTGCCCATTCACCCACATTGAGCATGTTGTCTTTACACACTGAAATTTTAGCCTACGTTTAAATGACAATATCAAGGGAACCTACTCAAGATGAAATCAGAGATTATTCACTCTGTAAGTCCACTATTACAGATTCTCAGTCAATAACATGATTAGAAATAACAGTGAACATTTCAGGCTTTCATCTTCAATAGTTCCTGAGATATTCATATATCATTCAAACATACCCGTTAATTTCAATGTGTGAAAAATGATGCTCAAAGTGGGTTGGTGGGCAAAAGGTTTTATGCAAAAATCCTATGAGATATCATGCTGAAATTTCACAGATATCTTTATAAAATGTTTGCAAATGAGAACTGGTTCTCAAACATTTGTACCTGGTAAAATAAAGGTCAAATAAAAATAAATAAGTAAATAAATATCCATATTTTATTCTATAAAAATTTCAGGCAAATCAGAGATGAACAAGCAGAAATCTGTCTGTTTAAGCACCACTTTGTACCTTTTTTGTTAGCGGTGGAAATAGCTGATTCTGTGGCCACAGGTGTTCATTACAGAACTGTGGTGCTTTAAGTTCTGCTGGGCTCCAAGTTTGAGCAGCGAGGCATACTGGAACACAGTCTACCAATAGCTAATGTGACAAACCCAAAATCATCATCTCAATACAAACCAGCAATTTTCCTGCCCACAGCAACAAGCAAATTAGTGTCACATGCAATTCAGCTAAAAAAAAAAAAAAAAAACAACAACCAAAAAACTCCTGAGTTTGTTTTGTACTGCCTTTGTGCTCTCCTAACTTTATGATCATGATCATGAACACAAAGCAATACAAGAAAAGTCTAATTCCCACAAAAAGCTGCCACTTCATGGTATTTTATCAATATGTTTTTGAAGCCAGTGTTGATGTGATATTACCAGTACTGGAAATGCTGCTTCTTTCGGGATGTAACTGGTGTTTTCGTTGCTCCGTACTTGTGACATGTGCAAGGACAATTAACTGATTCTGATTTAGATGTCACGCATGAAAAGAAGTGTCACTCTCCCTATTACAAGTCCGTACAATCAAAAGGTTTCCGAAGCTGTTATTTTAGCTTAAACTATCAAGCCAAAGTCCTGAGTTATTGGCTTAACTTGGCATAAAAACAGTAAGCAAGGGGAAAGTTGGCTGGCTCTGTAAAAATGTAAGGAAATCTGCATATCAGCACTTTGAAAACTCAATAATGCCGTCTTTCCCGAGCATATTTGTACAGTCACTGTTATAACAAAACTCCATAGCATCACTCATGTCTCTGTGCCACTTGGTAACTTAATGCAATCTCACAAACATTGAGCCAAATGCAGCAGTTTTTTTCAGTTTTGCAGGTTTACCCATGAATGTACAGACGACCATAACTGGAATAATTTGATACTCAAGAGTGATGAAAAACGTGATGATCCTCATTCAAGGTTTTTTTTCTCCTGTGAGTTCTAAGCCTGACTTTGGGTGTTTATTCACAATGTACACAACAATGTGGAGATAATCACATCCTAAAATGAAATGATATCCTATTATACCTGTGTTTCAGATTTTAGAGTGCTCAAAATGCTCTCACATAAGTAACAGGAACAATGACTTTAATGAAACTTCAGCACATATCAATAGATGGCTTCATATGTACAATATCATCATTTTGAATGATTTAACACAAATAAGGCATTTCAAGTTTCGAAAATAACCAACTGGCATCACATTTTTGGTGAATCGATTGGTTTCGGGGTAGCTGACATGTTACCAAATTCAATTGGTAAAAGCCATTTAGGAGGTGATCAAAGGCATACAAGTACCATACAAACAAATGGTAAAATGTCTCAAGACACACAAGCTGCATTTGTAAAACATCTCCAATGCATCTGTTTCACCATAACTTCGAACATTTATCGAACTTTGGCTGTGTCGGGATTCGTGGGTAGGAAGAGGGAAGATTCACCACCGCCATAAATAAAGTTCATGTACACAAAGAAGGACAAACTATTTATGTACAACATTTTTCTTCTATCAATATTAAAAAGAGAAAGGAAAATCCTGAGGGCTGTCAACTTCTGTATTTGCTCATCCCATGTCCTTTGATATATTCCTCCCCTGTTTGGTTCTTCGTAGTCGACATCTGTCTTACTGATGTCTGAGGGACGTCAGATACTCTCCAGATATTCCAAATGCAGACAGTCACGTTCCAGCTCAAAGTTGGAAGAAAAAAAAACAAAAAAAACGATGAAAATATATTTATTACAAGGTTATGATGAAGTTTCCCGCAGGCAGCTTGGAGTGTCAGTATTTTCAGGAGCCTTGGGCAAGATGTGCTTAATGTATTCTACATCTTTTTACACTTTAATTCGTGAAGTGTTCACATTTCTTAAAGCAACTATAGGTTAATTGTCTCTTGTGATAACTGATCCCATGACAGTGCTGAAACGAGAAGGAAACAGGACACAATGTAAACAACAGAAATGAAAATAAATTGTACGTTTTACCCTTTACAAAGCTCGACAATTAAAGCAGTTGAAAGAGATTAATTAGTACACAGACATCCCTGGTATAAACGGAGAGGCTGACCTGCAAATTAACCTCTGCACCGGGGGCGTTCCTTTGCATCCTTCCCCGCAAAAATGCTAATATGTTGATGTTGTGTATGGCTGAGTGTTCTGACAAGAGAAAAGAAGGAAGAAATTGCGGGGTTAGACCGTGTTGTTAACAAGTCAATTTGCACTGAAATTCAATCCCTGTAACTATGCTGTTTTGTTGACGCCACAGCGAGTGTGACAGCGCTGTACGTCTCCCGCCCAAAGTTCTGCTATAATATCTCGTTTCCCGCGGTCAAGAGAGGTTATCTTACCCTTGTGGTTTTGATCTTGTTCCCGGCATAGCACATCCAGCCTGAGTTGTCAGGGAGCGTCTTGCATTCCTCCCCCTCCAGGCAAGGCTCCATCTCACACCACCACTTCCCAATTACTATGGATGCTACAGGCAACAAAGACAAGAGAAATGGCATTGCAGGTACCTTTCACCTTAAGAGAATGCAAAGCGCTGATAGCAAAACTGGGCAGTTTTGGAGACAGACGGCCAATCAGAGAGATCGTCCAATTCTAATTATTAAACGTCGCATGTCAAGGGTGTCGGTAAGTGACATGGTTGCATTTATCACATTTTAGACAACTTGTTTTGATGCGAAACTGATGCTCTGCGTTTTACATGTACATGTAAGTATATTAAAATGCGACTTCTTTATTAGATGTGGTTGTACACGAATGCAGAGGGTGGAACCGAGCCCTTTCATTGAGTGAGAGGATCGGTAGGTGTGACTGGGACTTGACTTTAATGCACACCACATTCCTGCCATCTGGAGAGAAAATTGCCTTAAATACAGGGTAAGTAGACAGTAAATGGTTTGTAATGTGTGACAGAGGAAAAGAATCTGTCAGAGCTGACATCGAGAGACCTCAAATACCCCCAGTCCCCTCACAGATTGCGGTAATATTTGCAAATGGATTTAAGATAAAAGCTGCAGGTGTGAGGTCTCCTAAAGCCAATATGTATTTTAGCTGTGTCAGGCCGGGGCACCAAATCCATTTATTACAAGGGATTGAGCCTGTGTAGCTGACATTTGTCAAAGCATGTATAAAACCATCAGGAAATATCTACAAGGTACACACGTAATCAACACCTACTTTGTCTGCATCTCATCGCCTTGTGCTATTTCTTATTTCTTTACTCTTCCCCGGGGTGTGCTACATTCAGCGGCTGTGTTTGACTGTCTCGTGGTGGAGTAAAGCTTACCCCAGCAGAAGCCTTCTGCTGTCTGTAAGCAACAGAATTTGGATGTGACATTATCCCAGGTAATGTTAATCTTATTTGGGACACGGCGTTGCATGGGTGACTTAGGCTTCTTGAGAGATTTCAACAAATCTCTGTATCTTTACAAAACATAGCAGTTTTTGCTGGCAGGATTCTTGCGTTTTGTATAATGCAGAACATTTTTTGGTAAATATTTAAATAAGAAAAAAAAACTTTCTTTTCCTGCAATGCAAGCACATTCAGAACAAATAGTTTTTCTTCGTGCAACCACAGGACGAGATTGTAGTACACCTGATATTGTAGAATAAATCTGACAATGAACCTTCCTTTAGTTGCTAAAACACTCACCGTCAACACAAGAAGGCCTGTTTCTGGTGGTTCCAGCCACCTTCCCTGGCAGACAAGAACACTTGACTGTCTGTGACCGCTCCTCGATACGATTCTTATTACAGCATCTGTGAGCAGCAATTACTTCGCATGTGCCCCCCTCTGATAAGGAGAAGAAAAAAGAAAAGGAAAAAAAAACAGACAACAGACTACATTAAGTCAGCATCTCAGGGGTAATCAAACACAGCAGCATTTGCTTTCTGAACACCTCGCTGGACATTTGTGGATCAACGCAGACCGTCTTGGTGAAAAGTAACCAATTCACTGGAGCTCTTTACCTAACTACCATTTGGAGGTAATATTTCAATCTTGCGCTTTACTTGGCTGCATTTCAGAGGGAAATATCGCACTTTTAGCTCCACTAGATTAGAGCCATAATGATTACATGATTAATTGATGAGTTAATCGTCAGATATGTAATCAATCGTGGCATTTTTAGGCATAAAGAATCGTCTGCCGTCGGTTTCTTCAGCACAAGGATTTTCTGCTTTTCTCTGTTATATCACTTTAAATTGATCCGACAAAACAAGACTTCTGAAGACATCATTTTGGTTTCTGAGAAAGTGTGGCTGACTGGTTTCAGATGTTATGAGATGTACTGGTGCTTTCTCCAGAAAAATGTCATAATCATGTTTCTGCCCATAATTTTTGGACACTTTAAAAATATACTATAAGGTTTCTCAACGTCATGTGTCCTATGTGTAATGCAGCGTCCATATTCATGAAATGTTTGTCTCCACACAGCGAAATAACTGTAAAACATCATACAGTTTAGCCGTAAACCAGAATAATTATTCCTGTGCTTTACACTCTTTGAACAAGCGAGGCCCCTGCAGCTTGTTGAATGTAAAACGGTGATGAAGAGATGTGTGAGAGCGGGCAGAGAAAAAAAAAAAAGACATCTATTAGCGGGAGGAGAGGCCTTCTTCAGGGTTATCATGAATATGAACACTGTATCCACCATGCAATTATCACCAAACTGCTGGCTGCGCCCTGAAGGATGAGAGGACTGGACCAAACGGACTCGACCCACCTCAACCACTGGCCTCTCCCACCCACTGCGCTCAGACTCTCCACATATGAGAGCTGTGCAGCAAAGGACCATCTGACAGTTACACCCGTCAGCATGACACAAGATCAAGGAGGTTGTAGAGAGAAAGAGCAGTGAGAGGGGAAAAGTATCTGGTATATTGCCAGCAAAGTGATTTGAAGTAATGTTTGACAATGAGCTGTGGGTTTGTGAAATGTGTCATGGCTAGATTTGCATATATCGCTTTACTACATTTGAATATTTCGGTTTGTGAAGTCGTCTTGATGCAGAGCAATTTCTTAGGAGCAAAAATACATCCTCGCGCAGTTATCTTGCCATCCTGCTGTAGTTAGAGCAGCAAACAACATTGAACCACTGCAGCTGAAGTGATCATAATTCAATCACAATTGCTGACAATTACCCTCTCCTAGTTAACATGCACTTACAGTATTGTATATGTAATGCATTTAGCAATTTTAAAAAAACACTCCAACTTCATTGCACTCACATATAAAGACTTTATGTTTTTGTTAGTATGTCAAACCAGCTCTTCCTGTGACGCATCTGTAAGTGGTATATAATCAGCAGCTGAAACAACCGGTTGATTACTACGTGAGCAGATCAATGAAAAGTGAGTCTGCAACAATTTCACATAAAGAAAAAAATCATTTTTTCACTTGTTTAATCAAGCAAAGAAATAAATAAAATAAAAACTGTGTGCACCCTCTTTGTTCTGTTTAGGCATTTGCTGCTTTTCTGTGTTTTATATGATTTTAAAGTAAATATCTTTGGTTTTTTGGACTGTTGGTCGGACAAAACAAAACATCTGAAGGTGTCACCGGGGGCTCTCAGAACTTGTGATGGGAATTTTTTATCATTTTTCTGCCTTCAGAACGTCCACAGTTTGACGCTCGGCTGACCCTCGTTGCATGTCGTACCCCCCTCTCTCTTTTTGCATTCCCTGTCTATCTCTACTGCAGATATAAGATAAAGGCAAAAAATAATAATAATAAATAAATACTTAAAGATAAAAAGAAAGCAATAATTATAGTCCAATTGATGTTTTTTTTTTCACTGAATTTGAACACATTCATTATTTGTACATGTGTTTAAAGGGTAACTACATGTATTTGGTTCTATTATTATATATGCTTACAACTGCTGCACTGTTCTGTGCTGTCTGTGATAACATCATTTCATTTGGATGCCTAGTAGAATGTGTCTATGTTGTTAAAGCTGCAGCTAAAATTGTTTTCATTATTGGTAAGTCTGCAGATTATGTTTTCAGTTCATTGATCAATAGTTTTGGGGAGAAGTGCAAAACTCTGACATCAAAATATGACGTTCACTGAGATGGAATGCACAAATAAGGCACATTTTTATTTGAAAAAAAAAATGCTTAGATGATTAACTCAGCATCAAATTAGCAGCAGATAGATTTTCTGTTAATTGATTAATCAATCTGCTAATTACTGCCGCTCTGAATTGTTGTAAATTCATTGTTGATCTCTTCTTTATATTAGTATGTAAGTGTATTATAGTGAGTTGTGAAAACTGCAGATTTTAGATCCTGCCTTGACTATAAATAATCACGAACTGCCTTTATATGCTGACTGGCAGTGATGGTGGGGTGTTCATAAACTGGATTCATTTCGCTTTGATTCCCAAGACTTAAGAGGTGATCGGGGTTAGGACGGTGTTGACGCCGCGATTGTCTCGTTCGGTTTGTCGAGAAACAAAAACAAAACACAAGTTTGTCATTGTGAACATTGCTGTGTTCAAACTATAATTTCACTCAGAGGCTGAATTAAGTCATAAAGAAGCTTAAATTCAAAAAAGGAAAGAGATTTGGGACCCGTCATGTGAGCTCCGGTGGGGATTACTCAGCAGAGGTCCACGTGACCGGCTGGGTAGAAGCAGATCACTACTCAGATTTGACTGTTTCTTTTTTTTTCACTTCATCGCATTTCCAGTGATCGTTATCTTTCCTAAAGTACAAAAGAAAAAAAGAAAAAAACAACAACTCCAAAAAAGTCAGAGTGAGATTGTGATAAACCTGATTGCAATGCAGTTTCTCCTGCGTGGATTTTAAGTATATCTGCAGTGCCTCATGCTTAAATAATTAACAAGTGTTAATAAACAGAGCTCGTGTCAGCTTCTGATGAAGGTGTTAATTGGATAAGGAACTTTAAAGAAACAAAAATTAATAGCCAAATTTCGGCACAGGGTGGAGGATGGAATTAAAGAAGCCCGTCTTTTTCTTTCCCTTTGCCTCTTGCCAAGTCTGTTAAGTTTCTTGGGGTTATCATGACTCCTGGCTCTGTGTTTCGGAAAACATCAACAGCCTTTGGTTTAACTGAAAAATATCCAGATCTTGTTGCCGGTCTGGAAGAACGTTGCCTGCTGTCTGATGCACTCAACAAAAGGGCATGTCTGCACAACGTTAATCGTGATGTACCAGTGGAAGCAGTAGGGCATCATTTGAAAACAACAGCCCACAGGGGTTTGTTCTTCTTAATGCATCTCCTTAATTGCATAAGACAGCCCCAGATTTCCTCTTTGATCTATTAAAAACACACTACTCAACAGAATTAACTTGCATTGCTTGTTGCTAGCAAACAGAGCAAAGAATAGGCATGCTCTATATTTGGAAATCATCACCTCCGAAGAATACATTAAAATCGAATAAAAATGCAAATCAGCGTGGTATTTCCAGCTGGCAGGTGTAGTGGGTACCTTTAAACAAAAGTTATGCTTTACTGATGAGTGCTCTTCAAGTTCACTCATGATTTTCAGCCTGCAAGTACAACACGCCGCATGCTCTGAGACCCCATCTTTGCATTATAAATATTTCAGAGGGAGACGGAGGATAACATAGCAGGATATGAGTGCTCTCCTCAGGTGAGGGCTGGAACCATGCAAGGGTATAATTGTTTTCTGTATTTCCATTTCTCCCATTATCAGGGACTATGAGCAAAGTCAGTCTCCTGAAAGACAAATGGCTTCAGGGAGTGTGTGTGTGTGTGTGTGTGTGTGTCTTTGCGTTGCCTCTGCAGCAACATTTTTTGACTGACAGGGAACAAGGGTCACACAGAAATTGTCATTCATCAGGTCAGAGGTCACGCAGAAGCAGAGGGTCTCAACTGGAACTGCCCTGTTTTTGTTGGTGTGCTCCCCGCTGCTGCCTCTTCATTACTGTGAGTCGGGAAACAGAAGCTGTCAGGAAACGAAGTGGCCACCTATACAACCTGCACCCAACAGGGCACGGCTCATTTTTAGGTCTGGGAGAGCTGAAAAAAAAAAGTCAGAAGTTTGTGCTATATGTGGTGTGAGCTCTGTCTGCGTTCTCTGGGATGATTTGTGACTGGTGTGGTTTGGTGTCTTATGGTGATTTATTTCTTGTGCTGAGATTTCTTTAGTTGGTCTCTTTAGAGGAAAAAAAAAATAAAAAAAAAAATCCTGAGAACAATGAACATCTACCGTATTTGGTAATGTGGTCCGTGGCCCCAATTTCTCCGGTCTCTTTCTTGCTTGCAATTGTCTTCGGCCTTCACTAATTCTAAGGTTACAGGTGCCATTTCTCATGTGTTATGGATTATTATGAATTTGACATCAATGGCACCTTAGTATTTCACCAAATTAAGCTCTGAAAGTGGAAAGAGGTTGAGGAAAGTTACAAAGAACATAGAAAATTACCAGCCTACTTTGCTTTCTGCATGCGTACTGAAATATTTACAGTGAGAGAGCAGCAGAAAGTAGGTGAAAATCAGTACATTTACTGTACTGCAGTGACATAGTATTGTATTTATCTAGGGAGTCACAAGAGACGGATTAAAAACCAGGCAGAAGTCTACACTGCAGAAGGTGGAATATTGTGACTTTTGGGTTTAGCGTGGGAAATCTTCTAACCTGCGTCTTGCTAAGGCTCCCCCCTTGAATATCGATGCCTTGAAGCGTTTGTCGAAAATCCGTTATTCACCTCAGTCTTTGAATTAAGCATTTGTGTATCCATGTGACGCAACTCTGCCTCAACAAAATTACATTCCTATCTGACAAAACTGCATTTTCAATT